ACTTCACTCTATCGTCTTTCTCTTTGTTCTATATCGCTCTCCTTCATCCCAAGATTGCACTATTCTTGATGTTATTTCTGATCAAATTGACCAAGCCCTCTCTCTTTATCCATCGGCCAATATCGTCGTTGTTGGTGACTTTAATGCCCATCACACCGATTGGCTTGGCTCTAGTGTCAGTGACTCTGCTGGCGTTAAGGCCCTCAACTTTTGCCTTTCTCAATCTCTAACTCAAATAGTCAACTTTCCAACTCGTTTTCCAGAAAACTCTAATCATTTACCTTCTCTACTCGACTTATGTCTTGTTTTGGATCCTAGTCAGTGCTCAATTTCTCCACATTCACCCTTAGGTACTTCTGATCACGGTTTGATCTCTCTAAAACTATTATCAAATTCTTCTACTTCATCAGAATCCCCCTATCATCGTACCACATACAACTACCTTAAAGCTGACTGGGACTCTTTCCGTGATTTTCTTCGTGATGGCCCTTGGGTAGAAATCTTTCGTCTTCCTGCTGACAAATGTGCTTCTTACATAACTTCGTGGATTCAGGCTGGCATGGAATCTTTTATTCCCTCTCGACAATTCCAGGTCAAGCCTCACTCTTCTCCTTGGTTTTCCTCACATTGCGCTGCAGCAATTTCTAATCGAAACCGTTACTTCCATATCTATCAGCAAAACAATTCTCCAGAAAACAGACATCTGTTCACTATCGCCAGAAACCATTGTAAAAAGGTTTTGTCTGACGCCAAAGCTCGCTATTCCCAGGTCATTAAATCTCGTATCTCATCACAAAAATTAGGCTCTCGAGACTTCTGGAGAATCTTTAACAGTATCAATAATAAGGGCAAATCTGTTATTCCTTCTCTTGTATGGTTCAGACTTTGTCACCTCACCTAAAGACAAAGCTGAATTGTTTGCCAAGAACTTTTCATCAATATCATCTCTTGATTCCACTAGTTGCGTTTTACCTGACATAGCCGTCAAACAGGTTGATCCCTTGCTTGACATTCGCATCACTTCAGCTTCTGTTGTTAAAGTAATTTCCTGCTTAGACTCTTCAACAGCTTGTGGTCCTGACAACATTCCTGTTGTAGTCTTGCAGAGGTGTTCTCCGGAGCTTTCATCCATACTTTCTAAACTATTTAACAAGTGCTTATCAGAGTCTTGTTTTCCATCATGCTGGAAAGCAGCATCTGTTATCTCTATTTTCAAAAATTCCGGAGAGCGATCTGATTCATCTAACTACCGTCCCATTAGTCTTCTTCCTGTCATAAGCAAGGTTTTTGAATCTTTAATCAACAAACACTTAATCTCTCATCTTGAATCAAATAACTTACTTTCTGATCATCAATATGGATTTCGGTCTTCTCGTTCTACAGCTGATGTGCTAACAGTAATAACCGATAGGTTTTACCGTGCATTAGATAGAGGTGGAGAGGTTAAGGCTATCGCACTTGACATTTCTAAAGCTTTTGATAAAGTTTGGCATGCTGGTCTTCTCCATAAGCTTTCTTCTTATGGTGTAGCTGGTAACGTCTTTAAGATTATTGAGTCCTTTCTTTCCAATCGTAGTATAAAAGTTGTCCTCGATGGACAACACTCTTCTTCACATCCTGTAACTTCAGGGGTTCCTCAAGGTTCAATCCTTGGCCCTATACTCTTTTTAATTTACATTAACGATCTTCCAGATATTCTCACATCTAAGGTGGCATTATTCGCTGACGACACTACCATTTACTCTTGTCATGATAAGAAGCCTACACTCTCTGATTGCTTGGAGGGGGTATCTGAGCTTGAAAAGGATCTCACTTCTGCTACAGCATGGGGCTCACAGTGGCTGGTGAACTTTAATTCAGATAAAACTCAATTTTATTCGGCCAATCGTTATCGTAATAATTTAGATCTTCCTATATTTATGAATGGTAATGTACTAGATGAGTCATCTACCATTCATCTTCTAGGATTAACTCTTACTTCTGATCTTTCTTTTAAACCGTATATCAAATCCATTGCAAAATTAGCATCTGCTAAGGTTGCATCTCTTTATCGAGCTCGACACTTTATTACTCCAGATTCTATTCTCTATCTCTATAAATCTCAAATCCGTCCCTGTATGGAATACTGTTGCCACATCTGGGGCGGATCTTCTAATGATGCTCTTTCTCTTTTAGACAAGGTGCAAAAACGAATTGTAAACATAGTTGGACCTGCTCTTGCAGCCAATCTCCAACCTTTGTCACATCGTCGTAATGTTGCTTCTCTTTCTCTTTTCTACAAATACTATAATGGGCACTGCTCTAAAGAGCTAGCGTCCCTTGTGCCATCTACTAAAATTCACTCTCGTGTTACTCGCCATTCAATTAAGTCTCATCCTTTTTCTGTGACTGTTCCTAAGTGCTTCAAAAACTCTTATTCTTCTAGTTTTTTTCCTCGAACATCAGTTCTTTGGAATTCGCTTCCTTCATCTTGCTTTCCTGATTCATATAATTTGCAATCTTTTAAGTCATCAGTCAATCGTTATCTTGCTCTACAGATTTAGTCTTTTCTCTTCCAGTAACTTCCAACTCTTATAGTGGTTGCTTGCAGCCTTGTTGGAAGTGAAGATGTTAAAAAAAAAAAAAAAAAAAAAAAAAAATCTCTATTTGAAAAAGTATTTTCAGACATTGAAGTAATTTTTATTTTTATCCAGAGTTTATCTGAAAGTTACAATCCATTTGCCTAGAATGCAATAATCTTAAGTATTGTCTAATGGTTTGTTTTAAAGAAATCCGAAGCGATTGTCAGGACATTTGGTTAGCACACTATTTACTTTCTGCGTTCAGTAGCTTTTGCCTTCTTAATATTTTTATGAACTGCCGCAAAAACTTTTTTTAAATACAGACAATTGAGGCCAGCTGCTAATTAGGACGCAAAACCCGTTTGAATTTGCCGCCAAAAACATTCTGATTTGAAGGTCGCTTCCAGTGGTTTATGCTTAGCTAGTGGCGGTAGTGAAAACAAAAAGCAGAACTTTTACAACGAGCAGCTAAATAAACAACGTTTATTTTCGAACTAACATATATATAAAAATATTAAATAATTGACACCAAAAAAAAAAAAAAAAGAAATATTAAAAAATTGACACCAAAGATATCGCATCTTTGGTGTCAACTTTCTAATATTTCCACCTAAATCAATCTTTAAATTCTTTGTTAGTTCGAAAACAAACGTTGTTTATATGCGATTTTTATATGCGATTGTTATATGATATGTTGTTGCTTATATGCGTTGTTATATGCGATTAATATGATATAATTATTTCCAAAATTTTCCAAAAAACTATCAAATAAATTATAAAATACATATTCATATCAGAAGTTAAAAAATGGAAAATTTTTCTTTCATTCAATTGGCGCAAAATCATTTCAACAATAAATTTATAATAAGCAATTAAAACTTTATTTTTAATTTGATGTTTTGAAATATGACTTTTATTTTTTGATTACAACATTAAATTCTTAATTTTTGAGAGTTATATGTATTTCTCAAAATTGAACAACTGTAAATTACCCATTGATGTTCATAAAATATTTTCAGCTACGTTGTATTTAGGGAAAAGGTGCCTATGATGGCATAGCACCTATGATGGCATACCGGGCATATTTTCATAAATATTGGTTATGACAAAAAAGTGATTAGACTAACATGTCTATTCTGACTTTATATTAGTTTTACTAAAAATACGTCCATTATGCACAAATATTGCTTTTATAATCAACAAAAATCGATTTTGGTTATATTTTTAATCCCTTTAAATATTTAAGATTTTGATATTAACTTTAACTGTGCAGAAATTTTCATGCATTTTATTTCCA